GTTTGTTGTTGTGTGTTTGTGGTTGTGTTTGTCGTTATGTGTTTGTGATTGTCTCTTGTCAGATTGTTGTTCTGTATGTGGTTGTGTGTTTGTGGTTGTGCGCCGTGGTCGAGGTCCGGCAGGGAACACTGGGGTTGAGGTCCGGCAGCGGATGGTCGTGGTTGAGGTCTGGCAGGGAAGGCTGGGCGCCGGTGGTCGCAGTTGAGGTCCGGCAGGCAACACTGGCTGGTTGGTCCGGCAGGGAACACTGGGCGTGGATGGTCGAGGTCTGGCGGGGAACGCTGGGCGCGGACGGTCGTGGTTGAGGTCCGGCAGGGAACACTGGGCGTGGAAGGTCATGGTTGAGGCCCGGCAGAAAGCTGGGCGCGGATGGTCGTGGTTGAGGTCGGGCAGGGAACACTGGGCGCGGATGGTCATGGTTGAGGTCCGGCAGGGAACGCTGGGCGTGGATGGTCGTGGTTGAGGTCCGGCAGGGAACACTGGGCGTGGGTGGTCGTGGTTGAGGTGCGGCAGGGAACGCTGGGCGTGGATGGTCGTGGTTGAGGTCCGGCGGGGAGCACTGGGCGCGGATGGTCGTGGTTGAGGTCCGGCAGGGAACATTGGGCGTGGAAGGTCATGGTTGAGGTCCGGCAGAGAACGCTGGGCGCGGATGGTCGTGGTTGAGGTCCGGCAGGGAACACTGGGCGCGGATGGTCGTGGTTGAGGTGTGGCAGGGAACGCTGGGCGTGGATGGTCGTGGTTGAGGTCCGGCAGGGAACACTGGGCGTGGATGGTTGTGGTTGAGGTCCGGCGGAGGACGAGGAGAAGAAGGAGAAGGAGAAGGAGGAGATAGGGCTGACATAAAATCTAACAACCCTCACCTGACAGGTGGGGAAAAACGACTGTGTTTTGTGGGAGAGCAGATGTCTTGTTGCAACTGATCGTCTCTTTTCGTGTGCCGCATTTTAGAGAAAAACAAAGGCCCATGGGAAAGCGGCCGAAAAACTCGCGCTCTCTTTTCTTGCGGCTTCACAGCCCTTTCGACAGCTCTTCGGAATCACCATCGTGTTCTACTCATCACACGAATGAAACCAGCCCCCCCAACCCGAACCCGAAGAATCTTTTGTCGTCACATCGACAACTCATCATGTTTTGAGGTTGATGAGCATTTTGTGAAGCCGATCAGAAATGCATCATAGTCCTCTCTACATCACATCCACATCCTCATTCCGGAACGAAACAGTCATCAGGTCTTCTCATCCACGGCCACCGGGTCGAAAAGGTCGGATTTAAAGTGATTGTCAAAATGAACCCCACTGCACGTTCGGTCGTTCGGTTTCTGACCCGGTGGCATAAACCCGAGGCCCACCTGCGTTTCTTCGTGATGAGATTGAAACCACTGCCACACAGCCGCAAAGTGATGCAAAGCGATGCATACAGCGGCAGACAATTGGTGTGTTTTGTCGCTGAAACGACAGCGACAGAGATCACTTCAAAGGCCACACGCCTAGTGACAAACATCCTTGCGAAGTATATGGGCCATGAGATGTGTGGATACCAAGCATCCTTTACTGAAGAATTGGGCAGCGCCTTGGTTGATCTATATTATATTTGTTGATGCCCCAACCATCGTCCTTGTACAAATTCTGTGGTTCTTGGAGTTGAGACGTGGGGAACAGTGCCACTTTCTCTAGGTTTAGTACTCACACTGCAGAGTTTTGATCGGCCTTTGGATGAACACTTTCGTGCCGAACTAGCAGCTGACCTCGCGAAATCACTAGCGTTCCCTGTCTGCACTTACATCATAAAGTTGTACTGCTCTAAGAGCAATTAGAATTAGAACTTGATACTTTGCTTGCTCCTTTTTGGAGACTCACTTCAGAATCCTGCAAGATGGCAGCCAACGCATGCTAGAGCTCAAGTCCAGAGCCACACCTATACGCAATTTGGCTGGTGTCAGGACAAATTCTTTTCTACCAACACTTGGTGTGGCTGCAACCAAACCAGCCACAGTAGCTGCTGCTCAACAGAAAGGATTGGCTGGTGCAGGCCAACGGGCATGTCGGACATGTCTTCTAGAGTTTCTAAGGAGGTCTAGAGTACTAGTAACAAGAAGCTACTAGTAGCTCCTGGCATTACTACTAGTAGCAAGAAACTACTATTAGGTCTAGAGTTCTGTCAAGCAGCTGCAACATGTAACTACCCTTTGACCATCAAGAGACTTATTGGAGCCCGAGAACAAGTTTGTCCTATGTTTTGCTGATTGCAAAACCCTCTAGCAACTGCGAGTTGGACACCGCTGATACGCAATATACAGGATTGGTTGAATGAATGCATGAATGAATGAATGAATGAATGAATCTGCAGCTAACCGGCACAGTCAGTAGTTTTTAGAAGTCACCAACATATTTGCGCATGCTTTAGAAAGCAATCGCTGTCTCATTCCAAGGACCTCCAATGGCCACTTGAAAGACACACGATTTCAAAACAAAGACTGTAGCTTCGAGCCTCTACGATCGGCGTTAGCATATCTTGGAAGGGGCCTCAGATTTTGGATAACAATGGACTGACCTTCAAAACAATCCCGATGCCTGGGCTTGGCTTGGCTCGGAAGTCAGGGACTGACCTTACGTACGACACTTTCTGGGTTTGAGTCTTTGTGTAAATGTCAGTTTCACTGCCCCACAAACAAACAGGCTACAAGTGTTTCCAAGTCCAAAATGTGCAGCCACGGCTTTTGGAATGGTGGCTTGCACGGCTTTTCATCTCTTGAATGTTGGTGCAACGTGTGAACCGACCATTTCGAGTCACTTGACAGGACTTGCACTAGGAGCTGCTAGCACTGTGGCCACGGGTGGCAGTTCATTATTTGCGGTTGGCTTTGCCGCAGCTGCAGCAGGGGTTGGGGCACATGCTGCAATGCTTGAAGATCCAACCACTCCCTCAGTTGGTCATCCCTTTGGCACTGCAGACCTGGAAATTGCCAACTCGGTGGCAACGCTAAAGGCAATGATTAAACACGGTATAGACCTGCACCTTTGTGATGAAATGTCTGCCGAAGAGCACGTTTTGGCCACAGAAATGGTGATCGCACTGTCGAAGCGTTCGTTTATTGCTGCATCTTTCGATGACTTGCCCAGCCTGGTGATCCCTCTTGGTAGCTTTGGTGAAGAAAACCCCAACCCGTTGCTGGCCTCGATGATGACGTGTGCCATTGCCCTGATTACAGATTCTATTGCTGCTGGGGGTGAGATCAATGGGTACATGTTGCGATCGGTCACAGTCCGTGGCTCTAGAGGATGTGCCTTGACCTTTCGTCGAGCGAACACTTGCAGCATACTGTGACCCTAGAAGCCGCCCTGCTCCAAAGCAAAGCTGCAAGCATTGGACACTGGAGAAGCTTTGTTGGCCACTGGAGAAGCTTGATCCTCGCCGCTCGGACTCTCGGACCGGACCCACTTCTTACAGCGGCAACAGAGCTGGCTATGCTGGCGAACTACCATGGAGAAAAGCAGCCTTGTGTTGAGAGACTCCAGAAAAATCCCGAAACTGGATGAAACTGGCGATAGCACATATACATCATCCAACACAGTTGGTGCGTCCCGTGCTCGCTGAGTAAAAAGAGGACACACACACACACTGTTACTCCGTTTTCTTCTAACTCTTTTTCCATCATTCTTCTGTTTGACCTGAATGGGACATCGTGGGAAGCTGTCAAGATACAGTCGGCTGTCTTTCCATCATTCTTCAGGCTCTTGATCTTGAGGAGCTGGCTGATGTGAGTCTTGCCGATTTAGAGTGACGGTTTGGCCGACGATGGCCTACGCCCATCAGCCAGGAAAGAACGAGAACCCAAAGATGTCAACTTGATGCAAATGGAAGGCCGACTTTGGACCAAAGGAGGAAAGCTGAGTAAGCTGTGACAACTCTGTTGCCAGCTAGTTCGCAATTCCGCTCTTTGATGTTCAAAGCCGGAAGATAGGACTGCTCGGCCAGCTTCAGAACAGCTTCAATGACTTTAGGCAGAAGGTTTCCAGTCTTAGAAATACATGTAAATGAAAGGTTGTCGTCATTTTGGATTGTAGGCACGCGAAGAGCAAGCATTGAGCAGCAAAGCTAGAAGTCCTTTGCGTTAAGACGCGTCAAGTGGTTTGAGTTGCGACGTTTGTGCACTCATGAGTGGATCGTCGCTAGCAGCCCTGCATGGTGTTGGCCTGGCGGGCATCAGCAATGTCACCCGTCAACGTTCAGTCGAGGTCAATCATAGCTGGTCCTTTTGCGTGTCATGTCAAACGGCTGCTCGGAAGCCCGATTCCTTTTCGAAACCAAGTCAGGCTATCGCTGCATGCTTCACCAACCCTGTAGATGTCATCAAGGCCAGGTACACATGCAAATCAAGAAAGGCAAATTTCCAGCTTGCACTTCGCAGCTTAACAGCTACAGAAGTGGGTTGTTGACGGCGTAGAGCAGTTGGATTTGTGCAAGCATGGAGCGACACATGGGTAGATGCCACATGATGCCACATGAGTTTTGCAGAAGTTAGGTTTCCCTAAAAATCTAGAAACCAAATCATTAGCGTGAGCTATCCTGCGTCCATACTAGTATATAGCTTACTTGTTGGTACTAGCTACCTGCAGCTACTAGCAGCCTACCCCTCCCCCCTCACCTTAAAAACAAACGGTATGTTCCAGGTGCGGATGCAGCTTGCTGGGGTCTCTAAGCTCACCAGCTGCGATGCCCATACAGTCTTGACTGCTGGTCGAAAGCTGTGGCAGCACGAAGGAGTGCAAGGCCTTTACCGAGGCAAAGGGACAACTTTTTTGCATTTGAGTTTTGTTTTACCGGATCTTCTTGGATAATGATTGCAGGTCAAGCAGGTTGATAGCGGTAGACTTGTGAAAGCTTCCACCATGCGACCTCTCCTCCAATGGGAAGGATACTGACGTGTCACATGTCATGTGTGTGAGAGAAAACCACAAGCACCGAAAGGGAAACAAATGCATAAGGGAAACAACACCCGGGAACCAAATCATCAGTGCGAGCGTTCTTCAAGGAAGCTCCGGCACGCTTTCTTGAAGAAGCGTGAGCTATCCTGCGTCCTACCTGGAAGCTAACCTAGTCTAGCAGCTTACTAGCCCCTTACTTAATCAAGTACTGTAAGGAGGGGGGAGCGGGCTAGAAAAATAGACATCCGGCCGGCGGCCTTTGGGTTGTTGCCACATTCCCTTTCTGCAGGTTTGCAGCCATCCATACTCAGAGAGCTCTCTTATAGTGGCGTCCGGATGGGCCTCTATGAGCCTGTACGGGAAATGCTTTTGAGCTTTCAAGGTGCCAAACAGAGAATGTGCAGTGCTTAAGTTTTGGTTGGGCTTTACTTCAGACTTTTTGTATACTGTATAAGGATCAGCGCTGACTCCAGTAAGAGTTCCTGGGGCAAAGCGTCCTCTCTCTCCATTTCAACCTTTTGAATCCTTTCCAGGTGGCAAGCAATCGACTTCTCCCTTACTCATCAAGATTTGTGCGGGTGCTTTCACAGGCCTGATGGCATAAACATGACAGGTAGAACCTCAGTTTGCAGCCTTAGGGGCCTTTGGGTTGGTTGAGGTTGACTTTGACTTGGCCAGGGTTGACTTTGGTCAGGCGCAGTCGGTTCTGTCCTGGCGAATCCCTTTGATCTTCTGAAGGTTCGCATGCAAGGAGCAGAGCTTAAGCAAGCTCCAATGTCAGCGACTTGGCTAACTAGGCTACACTAGACAAAACAAACTGTGGAACCGAGTCTTTGTGTTTGTTTCGTTCTTGTCAGCCTAGCAATCTTTCAGCCCTGTGCGAGGTGGTGGCTGCTGGCAGAGCCATTTGCCAAGAAGCTGGAATCTCTGGACTTTGGCGTGGGGCAGGTCCTACAGTGCAGCGAGCGACGCTGCTGACAGCATCCCAGGCGGAAGCATCCGGCATTGTTATGTACCAATTTGCCAACCAGGACGAAAAAAAGGAAGCAAGAAAGAAAGGAAGGAAAGGAAAGGACAGGACAGGACAGGACAGGACAGGGCAGGGAAGGGAAGGGGAGGGGAGGGAAGGGAAGGGAAGGGAAGGAAGGAAGGAAGGAAGGAAAGAAGAAAGGAAGGAACGGAAAGGAAAGGAAAGGAAAGGAAAGGAAGGAAGAACCAAACAAGCAAACAAACATAACGCTTTGTTCTTCTTTACTTGTACAGGTACCCAGCTACGACCACGCAAAGCACACACTCCTTGACCAAGGCAGGGGTTGGCACGTTGAATATGATTGAGATTAGTTGCATGTAGACTGTCAAGTCAGCATAGACAGATGCTGGGCTGAAATGGACTTAGAGAAAAGTTGACCGCCCTGTACCTGTATTTGGGAGGCCTCCTGAAAGAAGGCTACTTTTGCCATTTCAGCTGCAGCATGCTGGCTGGAGTTGTCGCAGCAGGGGTTACGAGTCCTGTCGATCTAGCAAAGAGCCGTATCATGACGCAGCCTGTGAACCCTGAGAAACTTGCCGCAAAGTGGACTTTCATTTTCTAGTAGTAACAAAAAGCTATTAGTAACAAGTGCCACGCTAGTAGTAACAAGTGCCTTACCAGTAGTAACAGGTGCCTTACTAGTAGTAACAAGAAGCTGTTGTGCTGTGGTATTGTCCAGATGTCATGTAAGGACTGGAAGAGGCGCACTCTACGTTAGCACCTTCGATTGTCTTGTGAAGACTGCCAGATCTGACAGGGTCATGGCAATCTTCCGGGGCTTTAGCATGCAATGGCTCAGACTGGGACCACACACTACGATCTCTTTGATGTGTTTTGAGCAGCTCCGGCACTTGGATGCTTGGTGGAAATTAAGAGACTGAAGACTTGCCGCTCTTTCTGCCCTTTCCGCCAACAACATTTTTTGTTGAGACAATATGCCGATGGGTATTATGTGGAGTTTGCGGGTCCCAAAGCCTCCCTGGCACCTCTTTTGGTGTGTGCCAAGTCGTACCATGGATTGGGGCCGGGTCCTGCCATATAACAAGTCTTAAACGGTCAAAATCCTTGTATATCTGAAGCTTTCTTGGGTCCGGTAACGCGCTTCTTGTCACGCCGTCAACGAGAGTTATGTCTGTGTGCCGCATTTGCACTTTCTATAATTCCGCTTGCAGGCCGGTATGAGTTTCCTGTGAGCTGCCTCTACATGCGCGACGGTCTTTGGCATCTTTTGCAATGTACAGTAAGGGCACTGCCAGTCCGAGGGCTGCAGAACTGCTGCCTGTCCAGCACCCCACCCGCGGGCGTACTGACAGAACAAAATGACAGAGCCGCCTCGCAGCTCGCAAAGCTGTTCACTTCTACCTTTTATGGGAGTCTGGAGTTTCCGGGTGTGGGTTGTGGGGGAGGGATTGGTTTGCTCCCGTTGGGAAAGGCAATCAATCTCGTTTCGGCATCAGAAGACGTCAGCAGGCCGCGTTTCAATCAACTGCCCCTCAAGACATTTACCTTGGCTCAGAGCATTACTTCGCAGGCGAAACCGACTAAGCATAGGGGATGAAGGGAACACAAGCTGCTGATGACAAAAATAGACACACTTTGGAGTTCATATGGTGCAATCACTTGTAATCACCAAGATCAGATAGCTTGCTTTCATATCTACACATTTGGCCTGTCATTTTTGTGCAATACAGCTTGGCTACCAAGTGGTGTTTCATATCATGGGTGGTGACAAGCAGAGCAGTATTCAAACATCACGAGAATAATTTTTTAGTATGCTAAGCGCGTTCCTGGTCTTCAATGCAGACACAGGCAGATTTGTTTGTGCATTTGTTCTGCTCACTGAGCCTCGCAGTTGCCCTGAGGCGCCTTGGTCTACCATCGCAGATATGATGCTGACTTTGGCATTCCCAATGCAAGGCAACAAGCATCATTGGCAGACCCCGTGGGTGACTCGATCTGTTTGAACACATGCACTAGGGCCACTAGGGGTCCTGGCCTGTGAATGTCAGGACTGTTTGTGACCGTGTGCTTGTCGGGCCCCTTTCCGATGCTCCCTTCGATCGGAAATTACAGAGTTATTTTGATTTTATTTAGTTGTTTATGGTTCTTTGAGGCAACCTCAACCTAACCACAGCACAGACTCCAAGGTTTGGCTTTGCAGCTGTATGCCTTCAGCCGATTCTCCAGCAGCTTTCCAAAATCACCACAGCTACAAGTTCTTCACTTTGGGGAGATCCGTAGTTTGGGTAACATCTTCCTGGCAACAGAAGAGCTATCTGAAGAAGAAGGGCTCTCGGCACGCCGGCTGACTTTGGCCGCATTCGGAGAAACTTGGGCTTGGACTGATATGATCGCAGTGGTCATTGAGCTTTCTTCCATACCAGAAATAGATTTAATTTGTTGACATTTGTGCAGTCCAAGGATCTTGCACCAGACTTTGGTGCACAAATCGCACGAAATCTTCTCCGCGATTTTATTGAGGACCTCAAGGGTTGGGCTGTGCGCTTGCGCTTTCGTCATTGGTGCCGCAGTGTTGTGCTGTAGGAAAACACTCGGGCAGTTCATGTGCTGCATCCCAGCAGTGATGCGAAGTCGGAGACAGCGCCAAGAAGCTGGCATTTCAATTCGCTTGTGCCCTTGTCAGCAGTAAGACGGTGGTATAGAATTAAACGACGGTGTATTTCACTTGGGAGACCCCGAAGGAAAGGTTTTGGTCTATTTCTCTTCTTTCCGCTTTGAGAGGTCTGTGTATTTGTTATTGTGCTGCATGCAGCATTACTCTGTGGGCATGACACCAAAACAAAGTCATGGACCCTTTTCACAAACTAATGAATAGACTTTCGTGATGCAGACAAACCAAACTTAATTTCATAGCATTCCTAGCACCACGAAAGGCTTTTCAAATCATCACCAAAATCAACTTAAAACTGTACAATGCCCGTCGCTGCTGCAGTTGTATCATTGTTCCAATCAGTGCAAGCAACTGACAGTGGATTTGTTCCTCCAAGGATATTACGCTTGAAGCCATGGTCGATTGTTTGGTCTGCAACATTGCAGAGGCCCTACCACAATTTCCAAGGTGGGTGTGCCTTTTGCGCTTTGACGAGGACTTGAAGGGAATCTTTGCAAACTCAAATGCCCTTCTTCAAGTGGTGCCATGAGGTGCTAGAAAATTCTATCGCAAGAGCACTAGTAGGTTGGAGGCCATTGCCAGCCATCTTTTGGGCCCGGTTTCGTGCTCTCTTGCGAATCCAATCGTGGAAGGACATGGGACATCGTGCATGGGAGCAGATTGCTGTTGCACAAGCAACTCCAGTCGCCCCCAAGGAACGCAAAAGTGATCGACGACCACAATCTTTTGCAAGGCGGTTACTACACAAAGGACATTAAACAGACTCGGTTGCTACGGTTTCGAGCCGCATCAAGATGTTGCTGAGGGTGACAACGACAAGACTAATGCTCTCCAATCCAATGTCTGTAGTGCAAGTTATTCCTTGTTTGTGTTAACCACATGATGCTGACTAGCCTTGGAGGAGTGTCGGCGATCACTGCATGTTCACCGCGGAAATCTACAGACCAGAGGCCTTCCTCTTCGGGAGGTCGTGCAGCACAAGGGCAGGTGACATGGTGGCGCCGTCAATCTCATTCAGGACATTTTGAAGAGCTTCATGAACAAGAGAACTTCATGCTGACATGTTTCTGGTATGAAGGCTCCGAAGAGCAGGTCTTACCATCCAAGACCTCTACCCCAGTCCTGGAGCTTGCTACTGCATTGCTGGAATCCAGCTCGATCAATGCCGGTTGGACACTTGTGCAACTGCAGCCTCATTTTTGGTTTTACGAACACATGGGCTGCATGCAATGCGTGGCCTTCCACTTTGCACCCTATCGGACCTACTTCCTGGTACCCATCACTTGCCTTTTTGTAGAGGGCCTGCCAGAGAAGTGGGACCCTTCTGTGTTGCAGACAGTGTGCACTGGTGCGCGACAAAAGATCTCTTCCGTCTCTAAGTTCAAACAGAAATACTTTTCTTTTATGTTGTTCCTGGACACTCCAGGAGTTCTGGCGTTTTCTTTCTAAAACTCTAATCCTTTCCAAGATCCTTTCCACAAGACTATTTTTAGATCTAGGTCGAATCTAGGTGTTCTGGCCTCCAAGGAATTGGAGGAGCTCGTGAAATGGCTAAAGAGCAAGGCTGGCGCATGTGGCTACTTTCCAAAGAAGAAAAAGATACTCTGCAGCGGTTGGATGTGGAGACGATCAAACCACAGACATCAGCCTGCGAGTTTCTTTCAAAGGATGTATCATTGTGTGGTATAGTTTTTGTTCTTTGCTTGTTGTCCTAGGCTTAGTAGCCCTCCACCACCAATGTAAGACTGGGTGGGCCATGCGACTGAGGCCCCTGAAGAATCCTCAAAGCTGAGATACAAGGCTTTGTTTCACCCATGCCGGCCAGCCGGTGTTTCAAAATCTTGTAAATTACCTAGGGATAAACCTGGGCAGGCTCAATTGGCCAGACTAGGTGTCCTTTGGAGTGAGGAGAAAAGGACTGAAAGTCAGGTCCTTCAGCCTCACCCTGAGGACATGGTGTTTGCTCGCCTGGAGTGACACAAAGAAGTGTTGCTTATACAAAGCGCCAGCGACACCGTGGACCTACTTGGCTGCAAGAGCAAAAACTGAGATCGTTGTGCCACAGCCGCCCAACAAGATCTGTGCGTCATCCGAACAGCAAGTGCAACAACTCGTCCGACACCGTCACCAAGATTGCTAAGCCTGCTCAGCTGCGATTGCAGGCGCACACCTTTATAGCGCCTGGCCCGCCCATATTACGCCGACGAGTTGCCAAACGCAAATAGCGCAACGAGGACATGTCCTGTTCCGTTTGTTGCGTGAGTTCCAGCCCCAAGTGTAACAATAATAACTTGTGCTCACGCACCAAAACGGCGCACATCGCAGCTTTTAGCGTGCAGAGTGTTCAGTAACAAGAGACTGCGACTGCGACTGACACTGGTCACTGGTTATCATTGCACAGCCAAAGAGGTAGCAGCTCATGGTGAAAAGCCATTGTTTCGAGAGAACTCGACAACGCGTTTAGATCATGGCAGCTTTCACACCATGCGCTAGCGGCTAGCGGCTAGCTAGCTTATGTGCTGCTCGCATTCTGAATGCCTGCTCTCCCAGTTTATTCGGTCGCCCTTTGCACTTTCCAGTGCCGTTCGTGACCTGAGATGTGCTTTCCAGCGCCACCTTCAGATTTAAGCCATCTAGGAAATGGACAAGTACCCAATCTGTTTACAGACGCCACGGGCCACGAGCCCCTTTTTTACACTGCAAGAGTTTAGCTTCCTGTTGTGCTTGATTGCCTGTTGCCAGTTGCTGACGAAAACATTGATTGCAAACATAGAGGGAGAAAAGACTTGTAGAAAGCAACCACATCCAAACAAAAAGGCTTTGTACTTCACGGAGACTTGGCTCGGCGTTTTCTGCCCAGAAATCCTTCACTGTTCCTACTTGTCATGCCTTAGCTGCAGACATGAGTAACTCCACTCTCGTTAGGTTGGTGCCGACGGCTGCACTGTCCAACCTTCAATGTGCCCCTGCAGCACAGCCCTTCTCAACCTTTGCGTTGATGTTCACTGTTTCCTCCAGCATCATTGAGATGCTGGAGACTTCTGAATCTTTGGCTCAGCAGTTTCCGGGATCTTTTGCTGAAGCTTCGCCCGGAAATGCAGCAGGAAAAATAGCCTCAACCAATGCTTCACGTCAGCGAATCCAAACAATGTGCGCGGGACAGCTAAAAGGATTTTTCAGACGAGCAGCGCAGTTTGCGTCACGAGTGACCATCAAATCACCAATGCCACAGCTTGAATGTCGGAAGCAACATGATGAAACCATGTACTGGAGTCGTATTCTTCAACTTTGACAGCCTCTCAGGCCTCTCACTCACTGACAAAGCGTGGTGGATGCCGCCGTTGCGCGGCTTTCAGGACCTTCTTGGCCGAATGCGAGCATGACTCCCGCTTCGCGTTTCGCATTCCTTGCTTGCCGCTGTGCGTGCGGTCACAGGGTGCCAGGTTGCTGTGGCGCCGAACTGTCAGACTAGAATTGGGTGACGAAAAGGCACCTGCCATGCTTCTCCCACGTCGGGGTGGCCGCGGCGGGTCGGAACTTCCATGCCCTGGGGGTTCCAGCCGGTGTCTGAGATAGTTTGTAGCTTCGTCTTATGTAGCTTCTTAGGAGAATTCCCCGAGCTCTGGCCCTGCGCACACCAGCAAGCTTAGCGAGCAAGTGCCAGACCTGTGGCAACCTCTTGCGGACAGCGGGCACTGCTTGACGAATCGGAACAATCAGCCAATCG